GACGTTGTGTACAGGAATCATTTGAAGCACCTTACAGTAGTTTATAAATGCAGAACAGCTATGTCATGCAGTGAAATTCGAAATTTCACATGAGACTGCCGGAAGGTAAATGAAAGTGCTTGTATGGAAAGGTAATATGTGGGATGGCGCTACGTGGCGAGACCTAGGCAGAGGAACGGCTCAAAAAGAGATGTCGCCCATACTCATTTGGCATTTAATTTTTTCATTGGTTGCTATGGGGTAAATGTTAACAATTTTGGAACGGGGTGGGGGCGGGGTGCCATGAAACGTAGAGATCCCACGGTTCTACGCTAGCAGCCCAAAAAGCATTACGGGATTGATTCCCCCGTCCCAAATGTGATGGCTTCTCTCTCATGTCATGCGTGACTAGTACACTAGATTTTTCAAACAAACACACGTGTATTGACATTCACCTATAGCTGCATGCGAACCTTGTGTCACGCTCACAGGCGGGTAGGTATTGCGTCGGCCTGAACGTACGCTGTGGGTTTGTGCCTAATAACCAGTGTTTGTCCGCGTACAGACAAACTAGCGTACAGGGGCTCACGCATGGAGGCAAATGACGAATGACGAAAAATGACTAGTTACGCATCGAGGCTGTGAAGCGTGCAATGTTAACCGGCCTTGAATAAAGTTCTTAACCTTGATTTGATTCGTGGTAGGTAATTGCCATTTCAGATGACCCATCATGTGTCTAATATCCTATGCACAACAGAGTATCGGAATGATGAGAGGGCCTGTACGGCTGGGGTCTGACCAATCGCCAAGTATGTGGTATTGCTCGTTGTGTACTGTAAATACGCTTTTGTGGTGTTGATAGGTCATGTTGATGGTTGGACTGCCATTATGGAGTATTTTACTTTTCAGCGCCCCTTGACTTCCCATGCAACGGCAGCAGAGATGAGGTTAGTCAATTGACAACAACATTGCGAAGATCATTAGCGTGATGTGTGATGGGGCATACAGAGGCGTATGATCCGTGTTAGGTCCAGAGCAACATGAAAACACCATTTCCACTGATTTCCTACAACACTCCAACCCGTATCTCAACAACGCACAGCGAAGCAAGCGTGCAAGTTCTGCGAGATTCGTCTGTCTATCGTCAAAAATAGCACTACCCAGATATATACATATATATATATATATATATATATATATATATATATCACTACATGGTTTCACTTTACTAATAGGTACATAAACATCCATGTACATTTCATTAATTAATGGGTGGCAGTAAGCATATATCAATGTAAGAAATCATTAATTCACAGAGTTGAATGATGCTGAGATATTGAACAACACTGAAATCATTTCAAAAATGCTCAGAGAATTAGTGCAATATGCATCGCTCGGCAGATTACTACCGCGGATAAACACTGGTTATTAGGCACAAACCCACAGCGTACGTTAAGGCCGACGCAATACCTACCCGCCTGTGAGCATAACACAAGGTTCGCATGCAGCTGTATGTGAATGTCATGAAGCGTGTCTTTGCTTGAAAAATCTAGTGTAATAGTCACGCATGACATGAGAGAGAAGCCATCGCATTTGGGACGGGGAAAGCAATCACGTTGTGCCTTTTGGGCTGCAAGCGTAGACAGGTGGGATCTCTACGTTTTATGGCACCCCACCCCCACCCGCTTCCAAAATTGTTGACGTTTACCCGATGGCAACCAATGAAAAAAAACAAATAAGCATGGGCGACACCCCTTTTTGAGCCGTTCCTCTGACTAGGTCTCGTCATGCAGCGTATGTCCACATATCACCATTCCACACAAGCACTTCCATTTACCTTCCGGCAATCTCATGTAAAATATCGAATTTCACTGCATGACATAGCTGTTCTGCATTTATAAACTACTGCAAGGTGCTCCAAATGATTCCTGGACGCAACGTCATTGAGCTAAGTCCACTCCGCGTTACCGATAGGGCCGGCGATAGCCAAGAGCGGACTCTACGTTTCGGCCGTCAGCATTATCTAACCATTTCAAACGTGTCAGTTCAGTTTCCACCAGTGAAATCAGTAGCCGACACTTTCCCAAAACTGTATAAATGACAATTCATATATTCTTGTTGGCGGGCTATTCCCGGGGACCAGCGCTGTTGCTAACTGGGCAAATAGGAGCAGCGTGCCATGTGCCCAGTTATCGGACGTAATACCTAGCAGCCCGGGTATTACGTCCGATGTCATGGTCAGGGCCCTGAAAGCATTGAAGCCGCGATGGATTATTCCTCGGGGCCCACCATAACCTATTGGGCACAAAGCCACAGCGTGCGTTAAGGCCAACACATTACCTAACCGCCTGCGAGCCTGATGCAAGGCTTGTGTGCGGTTATGTGTATGTACAATAAAACGTGTTGGTCACGCATTACAAAACAGAGAAAACGCCACATGAGTACAGGAAAATGAATAAAAAAAGTCCACTTGCGGCTGGTAGCGCCCGTCGCCAAATCACCACTTCGAACCAATACTCATCTCCATTGCGACCACCTGCCGTGAAATGTCAAATTTGGCTCCATGACCTAACTTTGCTACATTTAGAAAGTACTGGAGGTTCAAATAATTCATGAATATACTTGCATTGAAATCAGTCCAATGGATGTTAGCAATAGTGACCGTTGATAGACATATGCGGACGCTTTGCGTTTCGGCCGCTACCATTGTCTGTCCATTTCATACGTGCCAGCATAGTTTAAATCGATGATATCACTAGCAACACCATTTTAATACCACGCATACAATTTCGCTATCATAATGGAGACAGTGGACCCATCCTTCCTTAACAAAATGTCATTCGGGTGTACCCACTCGGAGTTACCAATATGGCCGATGCTAGGCGTAACGCGAATTCCACGTTTCGGCCACCAGTATCATCTGTCCATTTCATACGTGTCAATATAGCTTCCATCGGTACAACGACCAGTGGGCATCATTCTAAAGCTGTTCAAACAGCATCCAAAACATTCTAGCCTGGTAAGCTTTTCACGGGCAGTACCACGGCCTCCAGGGCACATAACCAGAGCGTGCGTTAAGGCCTACGCAATACCCACACGAGCATTCGAGCGTGAAACACGGTGTGGATGCGGCTAAATGTATATACCATGAAAGGTATGTCTACCTGAAAAGTCATGTCCAACAATCGCATATGACACGTTGAAAAGCGGTACTTATCCCAACAAGCATACAATAGAGCAAGATTTACCAATAGGGCTGGTGATGGCTTAAAACACAGCTATTTACGTATCGGCCGCCAGCAATGTCTGTCCATGTCAAACGCTCTCTTAAAATGGTGTTGTTGATAGTTGCACCGATTGAAAGCAAGTTGGCACGTTTGAAATGGTTGTATAAGGCTGACGACCGAAAGGTAAAAAGTACGATTATGCTCATCAACGGCCATACTATAGACTCGAAGTGGAATCACCTAAAAGGCATTTTGTTCAGGAATAATTTCAAACACCCTGCAGTCGTTTCCAAACGCAGCACAGCAACGCCACACATTTAATTTGGAGAGTTCATTGTAGAAGGCCGGAAGGCAAATTGGAGAGTTCGGCTGGAAATGTAACACAGGGTCTGGAGTTGGCACCCGAAACATAGACGGAGGAACGTCTCAGAAAGCAAAGGTTCTTATAGTCACGGAACCCTCGTTTCAAGTCCAGGAGAAACTATTGCTGTCTAAATCGTGTCAAACTGGTGTCCACCAGTGGTTGCACCGATGGACACTATTTTGGAATGCTTGTTGGAGACAGATAATGCCGGTAGCCGAAAACGTTGAGTCAGTTCATACCTTTTTCTGGCCCCATTGGCAAATTAGTGTGGACATGTTTGAATGCGGTTTGTTCATGGATTACTTGGACCTTCTTGCATAATTTTCTTGAGGAAGCCTGTTGGGAAAGGTAGTCTTCTGCCCTTATCATGCTCCCTAGTGATACGAAACGAAGACCACAACTCGTGTCACGTGAAGTCATGAGCAGAAGGTAAAACGCAGCTCATTTTTTCCTCATCTATTTTTCACATGGCATAAAAATGTAAACCACGAGGACGTGGGCAAATTCCCGTACACCGTAACAGTCTCCCGGAAGGTCGCGAGCAGTGGGAAAACACAGCCCGAAAACGTCTCCCACTGAAAGTTTTCAACTGACGACCGATTCATTCGTCCCAGTGACGTCATCAGTGAGATGCAGGACACATTTAATTACGAATACCTGCTTGGTTTTCAATGTTATCATTAAAAGTGGTTGGTGAATCCTTGTGATACTGTGAGAAGTAAAAGAAGCTCATTTTTCACATTACTACCAGTGACGTCGCGAGGAGCACAAAACCTGTCATTGGGATGATTTATCTAGCCTGGCAGCGACGTTTCGTCAGCTGATTAGCCGGTCCTCACTACAGACCTAAACCAATGCTCTTCCCTCCGCAAACATTGTCGGCCGGAACGTAAGGAACACCGAGGTTGTTGAGTGTGTGCGACGCCCGGGACGTATCGTATCGGTATGTATGTATGGGCTATCGTAATTATTAAAATTCGAAGGTAGGAGCATGAATCTACCTGTTTTGTGATTTTTTTACGATGTGTCCCGCCTTAAACACAATGAATGATGTGCGATACTTTTTAACGTTACGTACCAATGTATACCCACACTGAGTTAAGTTCTTTTTTGGGGCAAGTAGAGGCTCCAACTACTGATAAATTATGAAGTGCAAGCATTTTGCTCTTTTGCTTTTTAATTTGTAGATATCATTTATTGTACAGAGTACTCAAGAATCAAAACCACAAAGTGCAGCCTGGCAGGTGTGCAAAAATACTGCTGCCCTGATTTGATGTTAAAGCATCTCACATTTTGTAGGGTAGCTTTTAGATGCTGACATACAGAACTTGTTCTTACATTAAACCTACACCTGTTATGTTCCTGCCATTTTGTATCGTGTTTGTAGTCTAATATGCTGTAACCCATGCACTGTTTACTCTTCCAGAACATTGTGTATGGAACACAGGATAGCCAAGCATGATGAGGAACGATCCAGCTGAGCCAGTTGACGCTTTAGACACCTGTTCCTGTGAACTGGGCATATTGTCTCAATGTGATGGTTCTGCACTGCTTTGCAATGGTTGGTGATGTGTTTATTAGTTGCTATTTTTTTAATTACTGTCACTGCATAACATACACATGGTGCTGTTTTTAGAGCATCGGTGTGGCTGTTTAAATATATGTAGTCTGCAGTCCCCTATTCAAGTCACTAGATAACATATTAAATAGCTATTAAAATGTAATCCACCATACTGTTTTGTGGTATATGGTGCAACCGCAACTCCTTTACACGGGCAAGGCTGGCTTAAATGCAGATTCAAGATGCCTTCCATTCACAACATAGTTGTGTTTACTTTGTAATGATGGAAACAGTTTTGGCTCTGTCTTGCAAAGGATGGGCTTGAATCCTAGCAATGACCTTAAGTAACACTACATACTTTGAATTGACTGATTCAAGAAGAACGTTATCATAGCTCAAACCCATTCCGGTGAAGACATTAGTCAACTCCAGCTACAGCTGTTTTGGAGAGAAATCTGCCTGGAATACATACATATGTTAACCATTTAATCACAGGATGCCACTGAGGTATTCATCATGGTGTCTGTACTGGCTAATCACCAGTATTTTATGGCTGAACTCACTGCCTGACTAAAGAAATCCTAGGAAAATGATTCCACTGTGCTGCAATCCAAGGATATCAAATTTCTGATGCTATTTTTAACTCTAGACAGAGTCAAGCACACATCTGTCTCATTGGCCTGGTTGGTTAGAATGCCTGCTTTCCCATCCACCCACCAGTGGCGGGGAGGGTTTGAGTTCCCCAAGACACTGGCTATTTTCCCATGACAGATATGGCCTGCCACCAGTGGCAGCACCAAATGCCATGCCAAAGGTTAGGTGACGTCAGAGGGCAGGACAGACTGTACCCAGCATTGTGGTACATTAAACTTTCACCACCAAATTCTGCCATTGAACCAGAACCTGCATGATTGGATGGTCAAGTCCACTGCTCACACAACACACACTGCTCAGCCTGAGCTCTGATTTCGGAAATCCACCTATCCGAAAAGATTCGGGTAAAATCTTTGGAAAGTCACTGCTCTCGGGTGCACCCGCAGACCCCATGCCCTGCTACAATCGGGCAGGGCAGTTCCGTGTCGAGCCAGTCGCCTGATCGTGCCTGCCATCTGTCGGCAGGTCCAGCGGCCGTGCTGGCCTCCACGTTCGGCCCTGTGGAGGTGCGACCGCAGCGCGAGCTGGTGGACCGCGCCTCCATCGAGGTCTCGTTCCGTGCCCACCAGGGCGTCGAAGGTACGCCGGTCGGCGGCGGCTCGCGTGGGCTGATGCTGCTGTGGCTGTGCGCGGGGTGCGGGTAACGGAGTATCCGGACGGAACTGTGACCGTGATATCGACGCTGACTGCCAGGCAGCAGCGCAGCGTTTTGACCATTTACAAAACATGTACTGATGTCTAACTCTCTTGCTGATTTGGGAGCAGAGGCCGTAATACAGCCAGCTATAAGCCTGAAACCAGCAGCCTTCAAGATTCCTGTTTTGGGCTAACATCTGACTAGGTCACTGGACTGACCTTGGAAATCCGCAATTAGGGCAGTGATGGATATTGCTTCGTGTTGCATCCGTTTGGAACATCAAAGGCAAGAAGAATGAAGGCTCAGATATAAATCGGGTGTAAGCAAAATACGTCTACTCTGCCACAGAAGAAATTGCACATACGTATCAGTTGCTTTGGATGCTGTGGCTTCATCTCGAAGCCCCCTCGCAGTCGCTGCCAGATAACGCCTCTCACGTTCTTAGAAGTGTGCGGTGAATCGGCGTCACCTAAAGCGTACGCTGTGGCCAAAGCCCTGGTCGCTCGCGTTCGCCGCCGCCGTCCGGGCGGCGGCGCAGCGATGCGCGGCCGGCTGCTTCTCACATCCGTCAGCCGTGTCAGTCAGACATGTCCGTCAGACGTGCCCGTCAGCCGTGTCTGTCAGACGTGCCCGCCAGCCGCGCCCGTCAGCGGTGTCCGTCAGTCCGTGCCCGCCAGCCGTGCCCGTGAGCCGTGTCTATGATCCGCGCTCTGACCATGTCCGCGGCGTGTCGGGCAGGTGTGGAGGACCGGCGCGTGGAGCAGCTGGTACGCGCCACCCTGGAGGAGTGCGTATTCACGGCGCTCCACCCGCGCACCGCCGTCAGCGTGGCGCTCAACGTCCTCGAGCCCGACAACACGGTCAGTCCCCCCCCCCCCCCGGGCATGTCGAGGCCCAGGCGTGAGGCGCAGACGTGTGGTGTGGCGGAAACGCGGCAACGATAGCTGCGTCTGTGGGTGTGGCACTTACCCAGTGTATCTCGCTTCATATCTGTTGCAGTTTTGTGCCACATTGACGACGGTATGCATTACGCGGACATTCTGCACGCTTGTCGTCGTATCGTGTAATGTATTGGCTCTGACGACCAATGCTCGCTGAGTGCGACTGTGCTGTCAGCACCGATGACTGCCGCAAAATGAGTTAAGGGGATTTAATTTGAATTTGATCGATCCGAGCGATTGAAAAGTGAAACGTGCTCTTGAAGTATGCCAACAAACGGATTTTTTTCGCGGATTTGGCCCACTCTCATTCCAAAGCATAGGGCTGAAGCTCCTCCCGATGGAGAAAAAGCTATACGCCTGGTTTAATGGAGTCAGTACTCCAATTTAACCATAAACCCAAACAATGAAGCCTTTGGCACTGACCCATGTTTGGTTATTAGTAAATGAGAGCTCAACATCCGGTTAGGATCACCTAATACCACACGCTTATCATCTTGTCCATGATTGCTGGCAATTTACGGTTTTGGTGCAAGCGAAGTAGATGTCTTTAACATGTGGTCACGAAGACACGCATGAAAAGTACGCCAATGCGAAGCACAATTCGTGCGAATTGACACGACTTACCACAGAATTTGGGATGACCAGTAACACACCTACTCGATTGCGACTCCTATATGGCTGCCTTTTTGGGCTAAACAAAATCCCGCTTTGGTGGGAGCAGCGGCTGCTTCCGGGTGGCATACATGTGTATCGGTGTGGTTACAGCTCGCTTATGTCTCCACGTTGGGAACTCTGCTGGCAGCCTGCAGTTCGGGCACTCGCACAGATAAAAATCCGGCCGGCTGAAATTTAGAGCGTTCACCCGCCGTGAATGTGGTGTGTTGCGCTAAAGAATGCACCCTGCAAAGAGACCCCATGCTCATTCGAAGCCGGTTTATAAGCCTTTGACATGTCACCAAGCAGTTACAAACAGATCGGGGTGAAGTGCTTTCAATACCGACTGTCGTCTGGCACACGAGCAACGCTAGCCTGGACTGTTCTCGATTGTAGATCAAGCAATGCCATATTGAACATGGAATGATATAACCTGAGTGTGCGCTCGCTAATAAGAGGTCGTCTTGGGTGTACTTTTTCTGATGTAGAAGTTTTCCTTAATAACTGCTCCATATTTACTCGCATACCTTCGTCCTACCTTTCTAGTACCTACTTCTGTACATGTTCTGTCCAGCTCCTTTAGCGACCGACCATAGCGACCATAGCGATCAACCGACCGACCACCGATCACCGACCACCGACCACCGACCACCGACCACCGACCACCGACCACCGACCACCGACCACCGACCACCGACCACCGACCACCGACCATCGACCATCGACGTGGAACCGTGACTATGAAAATTGCACCCACCGTGGCCGCGTATGCAATAACGGTTGTAGAAGAAATGCGCTCTTGTGAAAGAATGCGGCTAGTGTAAGAAGTGCGCTCTTTGTAAAGAAACGATCATACTGGAGGTTGAGAATAAGGTGGCCATCGCCATCCATGGTCAAGCGGGTCCAGGGATGCCGTTTTTTTTTAAAACATATGCAGCCCTAGCCTTTTCATCCGACGGAGTGCTGAGCCCCGAGCCCGTGCTAAGCAGTGTCTGCTGCGTGAGCCTCGACCGCCCATTCGAGCGTGAAGTCCAGCTCTACGTCAGGCATTTGCGGCAAAACTTGACATGCCACAATGCTAGGCACAGCCCATCCTGCCATGTGACGTCACCTGACCCTTATCGCGGCCGCTGCCACCAGCCGCAGGCCATCCCAGTCATGGACAGATAGCGAGTACTTAAAGCGGCTCGAACCCACCCCGCCACGGCTGGGGTAATCCAAAGACAGCTGCTCTAACCAACTGAGCAATCGGGACGGACGAGTTCGACAGATCAGCATTGCCCTGGTTTAACGGTGGGTGACTTAGCGACCGGGCGCGCCAGGAATGTAAAAGTCATCGGAGTCGGACTGCGGCCATCCGGCGCCTTCCGAGCGCACATGGGCCCCATGGAAGTCCCCGGAGGCTGCGCCAGATCCGAATTCGTCACAGTCCCTGTAACGGACGTGCCTCTTCGACGCCGGGTCAGGAATCCCCGCGTCCGCTGCCGGACGTGGAGTGTTGCCCAATGGCGTGCAATAATGAACGTCAGCGTGCGTCCGTCGTCAGCTGCTGCTCTCCACCTGCGTGAACGCCGCCTGTCTGGCGCTGCTGGACGCGGCGCTGCCCATGAAGTTCATGCCGGCGGCTGTCACGTGCGTGCCTGTCGACGATGACGTGCTGGTCAACCCGACACCCGCCCAGCGCCAGGTACGCCCCGCCGCTGCCTCGCGCGGCCCGGCCCGGCCGCGCTGACGTCACGCGCTGACGTCACGGCCGGCCAGGCGCCGGCTCCGAGCGGCGTGGAGTTTTGGGGCGTGACGCGGGGTCGGAGCGCCAGGGAAGTGGGCGGTGGGCGAGGTTTGCCCTGCACTGCGGTCCCCAGTCCACAACTTAAGTAGCTGTTTAGGCTCAGGAGCTGGGCGGAAATAATTTAAATGGATGTTGATGGGTACAGCTTGTGGAACTTGTCATCGTTACGCTAGACAATGCGATTAATTTTAAAACGAGTAGTTTAATGCCCCGACGATCACCTCGTCTGCTGTTTTAGCATGCAGTCATGATGTGCACTGTGTACTGTGTTCGTTAGTGTGTCTGAGTGTGCGTACAACACACCAGACGGGGGCGGTGGCCCGAATCATTGCTCCATCTGTAATGCTAGTCCCATGCATGACGTCTCAGTCAGTCCGTCAAGGTTTAGGGAGATGATGATCATGATAGCGTGAAGTGAACGCATCATACTCTGGTCACCGTACAGGAGATCGTATTGCCTAGCATAGCAAAGGCCTTTTTACCCTTTAGCTGTCCGCTTGCCTGCCTTCTCGGCCTGTTATGTCCACCGCGGCGCCAATCTTGTCAGAAATGACCCAAGCTGCTTTACCCTCGCTCGTTCCCCAACCACTATCCTCTTTATTCTGTTGCACATTCTTGCGTCTTAAAGCTGCCTTCGGTACCGTTATTACAACATGTGAATGACCTTTATGCATTGCAATCAACATCGTGGTGACGCAATTATGTATAGATGTGCTAGCTTGGAAAATATGTGTGTCATGGTATGGGATGAATCGTGCACACGTTTGGTTGAAAACCGGAAGTTGAAAGCTGTCTCTGAAGTGGCGTGAATTTCCCGGTTGTATGGATCTGGCTGCAAGCAAGGAGCACTGCTTAGAGTGTGCCAAGTGAGCTTAGCATGAGCCGAGATTTCCCCATTAAAGTTATCATGAAACCTCACTCGATAATTTTTAGAACTGTTTTACTTAGCATTGGATTTACCAGTGTGGAGTTCATAACTTGCCGTGTCTGAAATGGTTGCTACTTAGCACTTGTGATAACCTCGAGCTTGAATTATTGCACGAGCTGAATAGTTGACGGTCTGGAAAAACGCATCGCGTATTTGTAGTTTGCTGAGCCGGAAAATTTACCCTCGTTTTGGTGACGAATAAAATGTGCGATGGGCTACGAACTCCAAGAATGGCCATGAAATTCCCAGCCAGCTGTTGCGTCATCCCGACCTGGCGGTATGTTCGTGGCGTGAGATCCACCGCAGGCTGCTGGGGGCGACTCCACCGAGGAGGCAGCTGGAATGATGTCCGGTTGGGGCTATAGGGCGTCATGACCAAACGGTCAAGGTTCGTTGGCTCGTCATCGTGATGGCCGGGCTCAAATTGCGCCTCGAGAAGTTTCCACTTGCCCGTGTTTCCGCGAAAGGTGGCGACGCTAATGGCGTCGGCAGATGGGTTACGTCGATTGATAACACAACAAATGGGTTAGCGTTGGATCGATGAAGGCTTCTTGGAACGGGCCGTTTATTTGGACGTGATGCACTGGCCCGCGTTCATGGGTGTGACCCGTGTGTCAGGCGGTCCTTCGTAAGGAAGACCACCATCGTGACTCCCGACCCCCCCCCCCCCCTTTCCCGTCCGTTGTCGGCTGACCCCCTGTCGCTGCAGGGCGCCGAGGCAGCCGGCAGCGTCACCGCCGTCTTCAACGGCGCGTCCGGCGAGCTGGTATCGACGCACGCCAGCGGCCGACTGTCGGCGGCGCAGCTGACCAGCTGCCTGCGCCACGGCCGCCGCGCCGCACCGCTCGTCGTCGCGCTGTACCGGCGCGCCGTGGCGGCCAAGTTCGCCAAGGAGCCGCGCGAGCCGTGGGCGGGCCCGGCGCGCGCCGAAGACGCGCCGTCGGCGGCGCTGCAGCGGCCCGGCCACACGTGACCCTGCGGTGCGCGCGCCGCGGTCTGGGGAAGGCCCGCCACCGCCTGCCTCGGAGGCACCGGATGCGTTGTGAGGAGTCGGGGGGAGGCGGGGCGGGCGTGGATTGCCGGTGCCTTCCGCTGTGCTCGGCTGCCGTGCGCTTATTTTGTGCCGCGTGACACGTCACATCACATGCGGGCGTACTAGGACGTGGCGCCGTCGTGAGCGTGCCAGCGTACCACGTGGCGTGCTTTGTTGCACGTCAGGTCGTACTACGAGCTCGTCTTCTACTACATGGCGCTATCGTAAGCACGCCATGGTGCTACGTGGCGGGTTTGTCTGTGTTCTTAAGCGCGCTTCATTTTCGGGAGCAGCATCATGCGACGCGTTGAATCTTTGTGCGTTCATTGTCATAAATCATGCTCGCAGGATGGTGTCCGAGTTTCGGGGGGCGGGGGTGGTCCTCGCTCACACCGCACACCGACGTGTTGTGTCACAGCTGAATGGAAGCTTGCCTTTTAAAACTGATTTCATGTTGTCCGCCATGAAAATTGCCGAACATGCCCAACGGTTGACATGTCGGACAATGACTGGACATGCGGAGACAGGCAGGGGAAGCAGGGCTATGACATGGTGACACAGGCTCGCGGGTTCGAGTAAAGCGAGAAGTTTTAAAGTAGTGCTGGATAGCCAGTCCAACACACTCACTCTTCGAGACATGCGCGAGATGTGAGACATGCACGAAAGGTGCAACGACACCGCTGCGCCCGCTGTGCAGCAGGATTGTCTCCAGTCACAGGAGCGGGGGCGAACTGGCCGGGACAGGAACCGTCCCGACGGTGAAGGTCATCGCATGCTAGATTCGGGTGGGGGCCGCGGGGATCGTCCAAAGGATTACCTCCACATGGGCAAGGGGTGATGCACCACGTGCCTTCAGCATTGCTTCCTGCGACGCAGCCACGTGTTGTTTTACGTCAGTGGCTTATCCTTTATGTCTGATGAAGTCCAGAAACCTCTCGGACTGAGTGACCCGGGACCTTCCCCTGTGAGTCAGTGCTGACCGTGACGGCTGCTGGTTTGTAAGGCTCCGTTGCATCAGATGTGACGATATGCAGCGCTCCGTGCCGGGCAATAAGAAACGATGACACCTGTTGAACTGTGGCGGCCTCGGGTGGGACGGCCGGGCCAGATTGTGTCTCCGTGTTTATCACCGATCCGCGGACGAGGAGGATGGAGCTCGGTGACGGAATGGTCGGTTTTGTTTGTCATTTGAGTGCGGTCGACTGTGGCTGGAAGTTTCCTGATCTTGAGTTGTGAGGCTTACCTGAATCGTTTTAGGTGGGGCGTGCAACTTTGCAGTGTTATTCAATTTTTCACGTTCTGGTGGAAAATCCCTTCGGCGCCACGTCAGGTTGCAGAGCCGTAACACCATCGCCCGAGGCTTCCACGGCATTCGTGCTTTTACCGGTAGGTGTTTGGTGATTACATTCTTGCTTTGGGCCACCTTGAACGGGGATTCATCAGCTGGCTTGACTGTGTGCCAGCCGGGATCATTCATGCGCTGCAAAGGTCACTCCAGATCACCAACGAGGCTAAGAAATATCGGATAGGAGTGTCGAGTAAGAACGATTTCCACTAACCATTGGCAATAAGTGAACGGGCAAAACCAATCCTACGACACAAGACCAGGGCGCACGAGGTCAGGGCATGCAGCTGGAGAGATCATGCGCGTCACCCAAGAAGTTTGGCGTTCACCGAAGTTTACCAGATCTTTATATTTTCAATCAGAATGTTCCGGCGCGTTGCTAGTTAGCGCGAGCCAAGCTAGCACGGGGCTAAACCCAGGGGGATTCAGGATTTAGGATTTAGTGAAGGGGAGGGACACGCAGCATTGGGGTACGCAGCACTAGATAGCACCAAATGCAACAATCATTATTTATCCTTAAGACAAACTGACATCGGCTTATTTTCCTTCCCTTTGTTGTTTTCCTACCGATCTCAGACATTTGCTCGTCACGCCTCGTGTTTTTCTGACAGGTTAAAGGCTTACACGAACGTTTTTTAATCACACCCAACAGTTTCGGCATGCTTGAACTAACGGAAAACGCAAAAATATATAATCGTAGCTGAATAACGGATTCAATTTATACGCATCCCAACTCTACAGCCGGGACACGTACGTATGTATTTTTCAAAGGCTCTAGCTTCCTCATGGCCGACTAGCCGGGTCGGCTGATAGCCACTGCGGCTAACTGATCGATCTGTGGCTATCCGTCTAGCTGACTAGACGATAACCAATGTTGCTTGTACAAATGAGTACCTATCTTTATGGCGGTGAGGCCACCGGAAAAGTGAATTGCGTAGGCTGCTGATCTTGCTGTGAATGAATGAAACTGAAGCAGTAGTTTTGCAGTAATTTCACATTGCAACGACTCAAGTGACGTGGCGTGACGCGGATGTTGCAATGTGCGTGGTGGTGATCGAGGGCGGCAAGAACAGTCCAATTTTTAGACAGTCCCGTGTACTTCCTTGGCAGTGAAATTATGGGTTGACTCCCTGGAAGTTGTCTTAAATTGCTTATGTGCCGTTACATTGGGAGGGAGGGAATATTTCGCTGCATGTTCAAGACTGTAATGGAGGAACATAAAGTATGTTGATGTGATTCAACAGTAAAATGAACAACACAAATTCGACAATCAAGAAAAGTTAACTAAACGGTGCTACCGGCGCGTAAAGTTATTGTTGGCATTTGCGCATAAAAGCTTATCACCACTTATGAGGCTGGGCGTTCCAAAGACTAAACCAGTTACAGTTAGATGACGAAGAGGGGATACAGGCCAATAATGAAACGCGGAATTTCACGTCATTAGCATGCTTTGCTTACCTCCCACCAAATTTAACGGCGGACCGATTACAACTCTTCACTGAATACCTCACAGAATCAATGTCAAGCGCAAGTCCATGCTCCCACATCGACGGTGATAATGGGTGATATGAACGCTGGCAACATTGATGTTGAATGAATTTATCAACACATCGGCATCACAACTTTTGATCACACACTAAAGGACACGAGAGAAACGCTACGTTTACGACATCTTGTCAAACAACGTACACGAACAGCTGACGACTGCGAAAATCTACGTGACCTCATCTTCATAGACAACTGCGGTGAGATTGTGCGGAGTGTGCACCTGCTACAACCAAACAACACCATCACTGCTCTGCGGGTACCCATCCAGCAAACGTTACATCTCTGAACAAGAAGTCCCAAAAATTGTTGACTCCCTCGATGCAAGGAAATCCACGGGTCCCGACGGAGTACATGTCAAATTACTCACGTTTTTACACTTCTCATCTCCAAACCACGCGCACAGCTGTTAACCAAATCACTGGCGCCAGGACTATTTCCTAGCAAGTTTAGAGAAGCATACATCAAACCAGCATTTAAAAACAAGGGCTCGCCATCGGACTATTCCCGCTATCGGCCAGTAAGAGCCCTTTCGGCGCTCTTGGACGTTTTTGAAAATGGGATATTAAATATATACGATCATTTCACCGAACGTTCTCTTCCCTCAAGCAAATGAAGTGCGTACCGCCAGAGCCACAGCACGTACCAGCGGCTATTATACTTGAGGACAACCTATGCAAATCGTTTGGCGTAGGACGCGACTTTAAGGCAATCTGTCTCAGGCGTTTCTAAATACTTTGACAGGTTATGGCTGAAAGAGCTGTCGTACAAGTGCAAACATGACTTTGGAATCACAGAACGGTTTTAGACTGGTTTAAATCACGGCCCAGTGAGGCCCATACTCAATCAAATTTGCAAAGTGTACATCAGACTTCTTGTTGACTATTGCGACGCCATCTGCGACGGACACATCACAATGCAGGACGCCATCAGACTCGAAACACTACAAAACAGAGCCGCGAGACTGGTGACTGGGGCACTCTTCAGAACGCCATTCGACAAACTGTCAACTGTCTTAGGACTGCGCAGACTGACAACGTGGCGACATGTACACCGACTGACGCTCTATAACAAACTAAACGACCCCGGAAATGCACAACGAACTTCATCACAGCAGGCATGCTTAATGCCCGCGCTCAAGACACTAAGAGACATTTCAGAAATGCCAGCACGGTCACTACAACCAGCCGCACAGTGCGATTAAGGAGAGGAAGCATTCTGCATGTCAGACGAAAAATGGATATGTCCCGCGTAAGCTCCCATTTATTTCTTGTTCAGAAAACAACATCGCCGGAGTACCAGTGTAGACACCAAATTGTAAGCATTTATCATTTCGTCCTCTCGTACCAAAAGTATGCAGAGCAACGAAGCGATCTGTTTGACAGAATGTCTCAAACAGTATATACACACACAAACACACACACACACACACGTACACACACACACACACACACACACACACACACACACACACACACACACACACACACACACACACACGCACACACACACACACACACACACACACACACACACACACACACACACACACACACACACACACACACACACACATATATATATATATATATATATATATATATATATATATATATATATATATATATATATTAGATACTAGGTACCTTCATATCAACTACGAGCTCCATTACATGGCGCAAATCCCAGCGACGACGACGGTTCAGTGGTGGTTTGACATTTCCAAAATTTTCTGCTCAAATCTAGACGATTCATCGATCTTTAGTGTAGCAAGGTACCGCTTTCGCCTTACTATAGGACGTGACATGCCCGGTGAAGCGTGTGGTGGTTAACCATTCCAGCCCAACTAAAAAGGTGAGCAAACAGCATCGTGACCTTGGTCGTAATTAAGCATTTCATTTTGTTTGCATTAGGCAGGGTGCTTGGATTAAAGCTCTTCCTTTTGTGTCTGTCTGTGTCACGTTCGCATTCTGTTGCATGTCTTGTTCATTAAACATGATGGTGACGTATTAGCAGAAAAGTATGTATGAGACCCGGCAACAGCGTAGAGTTCTCCGAGCAAGCATTGAAGTACCCAATACCAATGAGGCGAACCCCTGAGCGACTGAAGACAAGCGAGCCCAGGCAAGATAGAAGAAAGGCCTCCCGACGGGAGTATAAGGCCCTCCACCAAGGAGAAGCAACGCGAAGCGATCCTCACCAATGTTGAGGGCTCTTGAGCATCGGGTGTCTCAGAAGGCTAAGAACTATGGCACTGAGCAACAGAGCAGAGCCCTCCGAGCAAGTGGGAAAAACCTGACATCACTGTAAAGGGTTCCTGAGTCACTAAGATCATCCC